ACTCGTGTAATAATAAAGAAACATTGATTTTCGGAGTAGGTAGAATTCATCATTTGGTACCCCAAACGTGTAAAGTCTTCCGGTTTGCGGGATTCTCGAACGGTCGGACAACCGTAGATTAAATAAAATTGTGTAATTTATGATTTACGCATCAATAAAATAATTATAAGATGCCTTATTAAAAATAATAAAATTATCGAAGGGAGTTGATCGAAAATCTCGTTGCTCAGTATGAAACGCAAATTAATGTAATAATTTAAAGCTAATCAAAAATTCCTTAAATTTTTTTTAATAGTTATAAAACTTATTTTCATTTGGCATGTTAAGAGTTTACGATTACACTTATGAAAGATTTATTAGAGTGTACGGGTAGGATATTTATATTTAGACATATTTATTAGTGGTAGAAATAAAACAAATAATTTGTAATAAATATATATGTATAACATAGTTATAGATTCATAGTCAGGTATGAGATTCGGCCACAGTAAAACAGTAAATTATATAGTGTTTTGTATATTGATTAGACGAGGGTAGACCGCAAGTCTGGCGCTGCTCCGCAGGAGGCCCCAAGTATTGATCAAATAAATATGGTTTACGGATAGCTTATCCTGCTCTAGCTTTTAGACTTTATTAACTATGCATGTGCAATACCTTACTCCTTCATGCTTGGAAACTGAATTACGCCGGTTTGCGTTTCAGACACAATTAACCTTCAATTTTCCACTAAAAGATTATTGAAAAGTCATATTAGTTTAGGTAGTTTATCTGGGCTTACGTAGACGTCAATTTTTAGTCTACTCCGGAACTATACACGCGAAGTCTCCCCTTTTGTTTCAAATTATTTAACTTTGAAAGCTCAGTGCCAAGGTACAGCAGCGTAATTGTGATTCTCATTCACTTCCATGTAATTACTTTGACATGTTTGTATAGCCTATAACATTTGGACTTTTGAATGGTGGGCACCTCTACTTATTGATAAATTAAAATATTTTGACGACATGCCAAGAATCAGAGAATTCAGATGCATTTTGCAATGGTATGATCTCTCAGTAGTATCGCTTTTTTAATTTCATTTGACAGTCACGTTCTTTATTGAAATAAACGCACTGAAAATCGCATGCGAAATCCAATAAAATTAAACAAGCAACTTTTAATAGAAAAAAGTAAAGGGAAAAGTTTTAATTCAATTTTTGTGTACACGTTGATAAAATAAACAAAAGTCGGTAGTTAATTATTTCGAGCATAATTTACATGTAATTAATAATACGAATTCATGTTTAAATAGTTATGGCAGATTCCGTGACCGATGAAAATTAAAAGGTCCGATAAACAACGCGCTCTTAAACCGTTCATGCGCGTATGACAGCCCATTCATAATGCGAACTTCATTATTTGAAGATTATGCTAAATATCTTGCGTTTCGAAAATTATATACACACACATATACGTATTTATATGAGAATTTCCATTTTTACGATAAGAGAAAATACCTATTAGGCTTTAACTGTTACGAAAACGACACGCTTTTATAATCGATCATGAATCCACGAGGTCGCCACGAATAAAAAAAGACGAAAAAATATTGACGTATAAAAATTACGGAAGCGGAAAAAAGTCGCCGCAAAGACCTCGTGTTTGTAAGTGAATTTAATGCAGTTTGTTCGTTGAATAAATTTTACGCAGCTCAAACAGACCAAGCAAAATTGTATTGATGTTATTAGGGTAACTCAATACTTTATTTAGCTTCTGAAATTTACTTGGTGGCACATTTTTTGTCTTTTTAATTTCCAATTGCTGCCAAATGTTTTCGTAACAGGTGTAGTGCAGGGGTTAAGAGCCCAACTAGGTTTCAACCTTGCATTTTGTGATAACTTTATGAAACTTTCAGAGGATGTTCTAGACACCCTAAGGTTCAATTTCAGCTATGCCGCCAATCCCGCAACTCCGGACGGCACTTGCTATAGCGGGTTTCTTAAGTGCAAGGTAGCATTTCAATACCCGCCCATAAAATGGGTCAAAAATGTATGTCCAGGGTTTGTTTTGTATTTTCTTACATTTAGGAAGGTTGAAGGGAATTGTCAAATACCCAGGGAGAATTTATTTAGGGTACCTATTTTACGTGGTTTGCCTATTTTTAAGGCGCTTTTAACAGTGCGGACTAGGGCTGGGCGATTACGGGTTTGAATAATCGATAATCGATTATGAAAAATAATCGATTACACTGATTAATCGATTAATCAAATAATCGATTAATCAAATAATTGTTTAATCAAATAATCGATTAATCAAATAATCGATTAATCAAATCATCGATTAATCAAATAATCGATTAATCGCCTAATCGTTTAATCAAAAGTCGATTGTCACATACAAGGAGTGATAAATATCTGTTTGCATGCATTAATACGTTAATTATTTAATAATAAAAATAAAAAATAATTCCATTACTCTTTTCATCAAATCGTTCATTACTAGGCAGATCGATTAATCAATAATCAACAAAGTGTCTGGTTCGAATCCGGGTTCGGGCATGGATATTTGCAAATGCATAGTGGGTTGGTTGGTAGAACAGCCTTGGCTGAAACCCTGCCCATTTGAAAATGAAGGTCAAAAATAAAAATAAATAAATAAAAATAAATGATTAGGCAGCTTACTCTCCGATGAGGTGTGCTGGAGTTTTGATGATACAATCTTAATTCATTTTAGCTGCTTAAAGTGACGTTTTAACATCCGCTATAAAATAAAATAATACTTGTGAGCTGTGAGTGCTCCTTTTTGCGTAAACTGATGATCCAGCTAATAATAATCAATTAAAATTTACTTAATAATTGATTAATCAAACAATCGATTAATCAAATAACCGATTAATCAAACAATCGATTAATCAAATAACCGATTAATCAAATAATCGATTAATCGATTAATTTAATAGAATAATCAAACCCGATTATCGATTATCGTTTGATTATAATCGATTAATCGATTTTTTTGCCCAACGCTAGTGCGGACTAGGGAATGCAATCCCGCAGCAAAATCTCAAACCCGGTATTTGCGGGATTGTTAGATGTTAATCCCGCGGGATCCCAGTATTTGCGGGATCTCGCAAAACTTTAAATAAATTTGCAAATAAGCAATTCTGTGCGGTTAACTTCTGTATTAAAATAAATCGCTAATTATCACACTATTTAACAAAAAAGTACCTTCGGCCTAACTTAGAACTCAAAAAAACCTTACCTGTAAAGCACAAAAAGTCTTCTAAAGTGCCTCAAAAATCATAGTACATTTTTAACGAAAAAAGTTTAACAATTATTTATAAAATAATTCGCCGTTATCAGTTTCATTAACAAAGTAAACAGAGTCGTCCCCTTGGTCGACAAATTCCTCAGTCCCGCAAATCCCGCTCCATTTATGTGCGGGATTAATCTCGCAAAAATGCTGCGGGATCCCGGTATTTCGGGATCCCGCAATCCCGGTATTGCATTCCCTAGTTTCTAGTCTATAACTTTTTATTGAGAAGTCTGATCGAAAAAGTACGAATTGTTTTGGATTCTACGCACCAAAATTAATAAGAAAAAGTGTTTTCCCGAGAAATTTTGGTGCAGTCGATTTTTGGTAAAAAAGGAAGGTTATACACTGCCTTTTTTTGAGCCCCGAAAAAAAAATTGTCTCAGATCGACCCGGAAAAAAAATTTTCTTATAGAATGTGGCCTGTAGAATCCATAATTTCAAACAGTTCCAAGATTGGGCTACTAGTTCAAAAGTTACAGCCCTTTGAATTTTCTTTCGAAATTGGTTTCTAGTCTATAACTTTTGATTGAGAAGTCTGATCGAAAAAGTACGAATTGTTTTGGATTCTACGCACCAAAATTAATAAGAAAAAGTGTTTTCCCGAGAAATTTTGGTGCAGTCGATTTTTGGTAAAAAAGGAAGGTTATACACTGCCTTTTTTTGAGCCCCGAAAAAAAAATTGTCTCAGATCGACCCGGAAAAAAAATTTTCTTATAGAATGTGGCCTGTAGAATCCATAATTTCAAACAGTTCCAAGATTGGGCTACTAGTTCAAAAGTTACAGCCCTTTGAATTTTCTTTCGAAATTGGTTTCTAGTCTATAACTTTTTTTTGAGAAGTCTGATCGAAATAGTACCAATTGTTTTGGATTCTACGCACCAAAATTAATAAGAAAAAGTGTTTTCCCGAGAAATTTTGGTGCAGTCGATTTTTGGTAAAAAAGGAAGGTTGTACACTGCCTTTTTTTGAGGCCCTCAAAAAAATTGTCTCAGATCGAACCGGAAAAACAATTTTCTTATAGAATGTGGCCTGTAGAATCCATAATTTCAAACAGTTCCAAGATTGGGCTACTAGTTCAAAAGTTACAGCCCTTTGAATTTTCTTTTGAAATTGGTTTCTAGTAGGGAATGCAATCCCGCAGCAAAATCTCAATCCCGGTATTTGCGGGATTGTTAGATGTTAATCCCTCGGGATCCCGGAATTTGCGGGATCTCGCAAAACTTTAAATAAATTGGCAAATAAGCAATTCTGTATTAAAATAAATCGCTAATTATTACAATATTTAACAAAAAAAAGTACCCTCAGCCTAACTTAGAACTCAAAAAAACCTTACCTGTAAAGCACAAAAAGTCTTCTAAAGTGCCTCAAAAATCATAGTACATTTTTAACGAAAAAAGTTTAAATTATTTAAAAAATAATTCGCCGTTATCAGTTTCATTAACAAAGTAAACAGAGTCGTCCCCTTGGTCGACAAATTCCTCAGTCCCGCGGGATCCCGCTCCATTTATGTGTAGGATTAATCTCGCAAAAAAGCTGCGGGATTAATCTCGCAAAAATGCTGCGGGATCCCGGTATTTCGAGATCCCGCAATCCCGGTATTGCATTCCCTAGTGCGGACAGTAAAATCGTGACGGATACCTTTTTTGGCTGCTCTATTGAATATTATACTATGCTCTAAAGTATTTATTGAGACATTACAATGCTGAAAGGAAAGTTAACAATATCTACGGCACTAAAATTATTGAGCCCTATCTTGAGAACACTCGCCTCCGCAGTCGCACAATTCGGTGCAGGTCACATCGGACTTGACAAAGCTGCATCTTTGTGTGCAACCTTTCTTAAGAGAGGCGGTAAGTAGGCGAATAGATGAATCAGGTGATCACCATGGTAAATTTGATACTTCTTCTAAAATTCGGGTTCTGGTCGATTCCTTTAGGAATATTAAAATTACTGCGAACAAATTTTTTTACGCAAATTCGCAAAAATAACCGACAAATAAAAAATCTTAAAATAACTTACTTATTAACTCTTCTGTTAGTAATTGATCTTATCTCTTCCTGGAAAATGGTGCTCCCAAAATGTCGTATTGTGAATCCGGGCAAACCGACTTCCATTTCGCGAACGTAATTCTCCAGATGATAATGTATAAGAATAAAATGTCAATGTTCCGCTGTGCCCATAATAATTTTGTCCAATTTATTAACCAGGTATTGATGCAGGAATAATACACCGATTACTTGTCTTTACATTCATTGCCGTATGCCGTTGTATACAAACTGCCACCGAAAACATCATCAATTGATTAACTTGTTTTGACATTGAAAGAGTTAATTACTTACTGTACGTAATTATTACTGGTACATTTTTAGCATATTTCAATTTAATACCGACCTTTCTCAAGTTTGCGAGAGTGGTTGCACTACCGTATTGAATATAAAACGAAGGAAAGCAATTTCCAGAATTTATTTCTTAAAATAAATGTTATCTAATGGTGAAGAGGTTGTAAAACGTAACAAGAAAAATATTGCCACAACTTCATAAAAATGCAATATATTCAAGTTTACTCACTCATCATAAAACGTTCTTTATAACCACTTGCATTGTCTTGATTTCCACGATCCTAACGTGTATTTACCAAAAACTGAATTCGGTTGCATCTCACATACGACGTCCATAAGGTACAGCCAAAATCATACGAGAATATTACTTTTGAAAGTTGGACAATCTCCAATTTCTTCCGCCATATGTCGTGATGGCCCTATAAATTATTTATAATTTATCACAGAGGACAATGGAGTTTAATTCATCATATCCACGTCACAAAATCTAATTTTCTATTGCCAACCAAATTCGTGTAGTATGCCATTTTTTCGTAAGGCAAACATCACGCACCAGCCAAATAGATTTGGTGGGTCATCTCGATGACCTAAAAACGGGGGTCACACACGACAAACTGTTCTCTCCACTTCAAATCGCCCGGTTTCATTTTCTAGTCGGATGACGTGCAATTTTGTCTAACGGGACGTCCTGCATAATATTACCTCCATGTCTTGCATGTCAAAACATGATTACATTTACATGGAATATTTTACGTGCGCCCCGTCCGTGAATAGCTTGCTTATTTAGTAAAAGGGCACCGGGATTTCCACCTGGCTCGGTTTGAACGTCTCCATCAATAAGTTAGAGAAATTAGGCGAAGCGAAAGTGGATCGTTTATTTAGAGAAAATGACCGGAAGCCTTATACCATCGAGTGAGCGATTGCGCGCCCCTTCGCTTCTTGCAAACGAGAAATAAAATTTCGATACACGAGTCTGCTGCTATGATTAACACAAAATGTGGGAGGATCGTTCTTGTTAATTCAGAAAAAAAGGGAAACGCTACCGAAGCAACCACCCATTTCCTGCACGCTATTCGTTCCTAATTAGAAAAAAAAGCAAATAAAGGAAATGAAAAACGAATGCCTCGATCAGCTTTTTTGGGATATTTAAATGTTATTCCCGTCAATGCTAATAATCCAAAAAAACGCGACGTTCAGTTGACGTCAACACATAGGAAATTAACAACAGAATTACAAATCGGCGCAAGGATTTGTTATAAATAACTGGTTTGCGTAAGGAATTAAAGCTCTATTCTAAAAACGTTTATGACTTGAATGATTCCGGGGCTTTGCGGATTGAGTGAAAATTCTATTTTGCATTTCTGATTATAACGCCTCCACTGAACAAACTCGAGTGTTGTTCGTGCTCAATGCCATTATTGAGAAAGTCGTTTTAAAATACAAATATAGTAGAGTTAGATGGACTCTATTTAAATGCAGATTACACCACGCACTTAACATTTTCAATTTCGAATGCTAATCCAATTATTCACGAAAACTTTTTCATAGTTTTGCGAGCTTAAATCCCTTCGCTATTTTCACTTTCACTTTTAACTTGGATGGGTAATTATAATTAAAATGTTGAGACAGACAGAGCTATAGCACCTTCCTCGCAATGACATATTGCTTTTTTCGACGATACAAAAGAATTTTCATGTGAATTCCACCCTAAAGCAACGTTTTTGAAACGGGGGGCTTTAAGCACAAGGTTTGGGAGAGATACCTAATTAATTTTGGCAAAATCTTTCGTAGGGCCCTTTTTTATGTAGAATCCATCGCGATTCACAGTTTTTATACAGGGTGTTTGATTTTTATATACGACCTTAAACTACATTTTCTCATATAGACCACTCTATATACTCGTAGTTTGGAGGTTTTGAAAAGACCGTAAAATTTCCTAAATTTTAATGTATCACTTTTATATTTATATTAAATATTATTTGCAATATTCTTTTTATACATTAAAATATTTTGAGTGGAGACATCTAGGTTTCCGTGGCGAACAAAAGATGGCAGGATTGTTTAAAATGACCATTTCTTGGTTATTTGGAAATGTTTATTCGTTCCAAATATTTTTAATTTCAAACAACGCACAAAAAACAAAGGATCTGAAAACACATGCGAATAAAACAAATAAATAATATAATACATAAATAAATAATGCAGACAATCAATAAAGTGTCGTTTTAAATAATCCTGTCATCTCTGTTCACCATGGAAACCTAGATGTATGCAATAAAAATATTGCAATGTATAAATAAAATGCACTATTAGATATAATATTTAATTTAATATAATTAGTAATAGGTACATGAAATTTTCAATATTTTCAAAAACTCCAAAATATATAGAATGGTCCATATGAAAAAATGTAGTTTAATCGTATAAGAAAAACCAAACATCCTGTATATAAAACTGTGTATCGTGATGGATTCTGTATAAAAAATGCTCTGAAAAAGATTTTGCCAAACTCAATTATCTTTAACATTAAGAAAGTTATGTGGCATTGAAGAAATGGGCTAAATTCGAGAAACGCCCCCTAGCGGCCAAATGATTAGAGACTGAATTCCGTTTAGCCCAGTGATTTTCTCTTTAAAATTGAGCTCCAGACACCTATGTCCATTTTTTCTATCTCTTAAAATAAAAGGCATTTCCATAAGAAAGTGTCCAACTTGAACCACCCTGTACGTACGTTAATGTTAAAAGTGACGACTGTATTTTTGTTTTATACACGTTTCCATGTAAAATCTTTCAGCTCGGCCTGAAGATGACATTCTCGTCGAAATCGATAGCCGTTAGAAAATTAAAAATTTTTTGAGTCTCAATTAATTTTCATCATATATTAATAATCACTCAAACAAAAAATGGAGTCCTTCATCAACAAAATGACGATTGTAGGTCTACACTTGTATGCAAAAATTGCTTTACAACATTGCTACAAATTCTTAAAAGAGCGCCCACAATGGGTTTTTGGGGCTTTTGATAAAACTCGAACAATGTTGGTGGTGGGACCAAGAATTCCAGGAATGTTTTTGTGATTCGAGTTCTCAAAAACTTAGATTCGTTATCCTCATGAAATTCCACACTTTTTTATCCCTTTAAGAATGTAATCAAGCAGAACTATAAAGAGGAGAGATGAACATGTTTGCAATGGCCCCTCCAACATGAATTCTTTTCGCACGCCACCTTACACGCTATTTCATTAATCATAAAACGTAAAATAAATCCACCATCAGAGAATGAATCGACAGCAAAAGGAAAGGCGAATTGAATAAAATCAACAATAATCCACACGCTCGACCCCTAATAAAACATGTATCAATTTTAGGGCACTGTAACTCGAACCCGCAGGTGAGTTTTCCCACAATTTAGGAAAATATGCACCTTATTTTGTCACGTTCCTACCATTCAGATATCAAAAGTTTGAATTCGAATAAAACCTTTATTGTTTCACACAACATTTATCGTCGAATGTATCATGTAAAACGCAAGGAAGCTCTTTTTCGACAATGTAAATTTGTGTTGTACGGATAATCTCGTTAGATTCTACACTGAATTAAATTTCGCCAATTTTTTCACTACGGATTTGATTGAAACTAGTACCTAGATGTGCAACCGATGGATTTTCATTCTTGACTTAAGGGTGAAATTTGTCTTAATTTAACAAATAACAAACTCATATAATGTAAGCACATTTAATAGTATATTGCATAATAAGTGTGCTAAGAAGCCTATTTCGCACGAGTATTTTGCGACACGAGCGAGCGCAGCGAGCGAGTGTTGTAATAAAATCGAGTGCGTAATAGGCATTAGCACTCGAATTATGTACTATACTTTTTCTACGACTTGAATATATTTGATAAAAGATTGATAGATTACGATCGATTTGGTTCTAAATATTCGAACTTCGAACTAAAAATTAGAACTGTCAAGTGTCAAATGTCATGGTCTATTTAAAAGGAATACAAAATACAACGTAACCTCACTTATATTCCATGAATGCACGCCAGCGAGCAAGAATTTTATAAATACTTTTTACTTAGATTGGAAAGTGTATTGCAGGGTTTTGACATCCCTATTCCTTACTGCAATGTGAGTTTCATTTTAGCACCATAGATGCAATAGCCAATAGGATACAAGATACAAGTGTTGAAGTTGAAGATTACTACCTAACTAGCTCAGGTGGTTTTAGTGCTCTTTTTCATTACAGTTTTGAACGATTTCTATTGTTGTAGTTGCCAATGTATTAGGTACCTAACTATCGATAATACTAAGGCCTTCAAAACGCTGCGTCTTTTAACGAGTTTTCCCGGGAAGGAAGCATCGGACTACCCAGTATTCTAAAGTGCATTATTCCGTGTTCCATGCAAGTCGTAATTAGCACCATCCATTAATTCTACGAGTACTTATTGTAGTTTTCTAAAATACAAAATAGTAGCAACAGAGTTTGCTTAATTAACTAAACGCAGCTTCAAACCATTCTTGAGTAGCCCATTGCGATTATCAAAAATAATTGGGCACGGCTAATAAATTACATACAGGCTCCATTCCCATACAAATGGCAATGTTTAAACAAATTATGAGTAATTCTGTTCAAAGAAGTTTGCAAAATGTGAAACATAACCTACAACAACAAAATCTGACGTTACTTCATTCATTAGGCAGGGCTGACAACCTACTAAATTAACATTTCGCGTTTGACCTTTAACCTGTTACGTAATATATTAAGTAACAGTTCTAATTTTCATTATGCAACCGTATGATATAATGAACGATTTAGACGTGCAGTACAGGGTGACATTTTGGGTATGTTTACAACATAGGAGTAGAAAAAATAATTAACAGGGAGGTATATGAGGTTAGCGAATGATTTCTATATACATTTGCAAATAACCTACCCCTAAATCTACAACTCTATTAAATACCTAATTATAGTAAATGTACACAATTTCCTTCATTAAAACTTTATAGGCGAGGACCTTTAGAAATACTGTTACCGTTGTGGTTTTCTAACCGTTTTCTTTTGAACTATCGTTTATTTCCGCATAAC